TTTTATTATAACGCTACTTTTGTTTTAAAATTAAATGAATTTAACGATATACGAAATAAATTTCAGAAAAAATTAGTAAAATTAACTTGGGACTTGAATAAATGTCCTTTAAAAATATTAAAATTTAATATTAAAAATTGTTATTCTCAGAATAACTTTTACTATTTTGTATTTTCGAAAACAATTTTTTTTTATAAAAATTAAAAAAATTTATACCAAAAATAGTAAAATTTACTCTAAAAATATGAATATTTAATAGCTAATTGTAATGTTTGAGGAAAATTTAAATAATTTTTATTAAAAAATTGACATTGAAAATAGTAAATTTTGCTATCAAAAATTGTTATTTCCAGAGGAAATTTTTTAATATCCGTAGTAAATTTTATTGAAAATTAGTAAAATATTCTTTGAATTTAGTAAAATTTATTCTGAAATTAAAACAATTTGTCAAAAATTTTAAACAATTTTAATTTTTCTTAAAAGTTAAAGTTACTTTATATTTGTTTTTGTGAAAAAATTTCTAAGTTTAAAAACTGATAAATAATATAAAAAAATTTTTAAGTTTCAAAATACTAAAATTTTTTCAAAGTTGTCGAAAAGCAAAAATTTTTTCTTAAGACAAACTAAAAGTTTTCCTAACTAACAAAAAATGGCAGTTTTTACAAGTTTTTCTTAAAAATAAGGGGAAAAGGAGAGAAAATTTATGATTTTTTCTGTTTTAGGGGTTTTAATTAATTTAAGGGGATAAAAAAGGGGGGGGGGAATGGGCTAACTGTGATGCCTGTATTTTTTTTAAGATTACTGATCTTAGGCTTTTTTTTTATTTCTAGGATTTTTTCCAGACTTAATTCAGAAAATAATTCTCAAATTTTGACTTTTGAAAACAATGACAAATCAGAATTAAAGTGAAAATTTGTCTACTAATTTACATTTGTAATTAATTTTTTACTAATTTTTAGTAAAATTTTACTGTATTTTATTTCGTAGTTTTAATTTTCTATACTGAAGTTCAAGGGGAAAACTATTTGGAATCAGTATCAATTTTTACTAATTAATAAATTAAATTTTATAAAAATGTTAATTACTTTAAAAGTACAATTTACTGTTTTATTTAAAAGATTAAAATTTTTATTCTAAATTTTTAGTGGAAAATTAGAAATTACTGAGAATTAGTAAAATTTTTCACTAAAAATTTAATAAGCTGTAAATTTTCAGTAATTTTAACTTAAAGACAAGATTACGCAAAACTTTGATACACAGAATAAGTAGCAGTATTTTTATTTGTTTGAAAATATTTATTAGTTAGCACATTTTTTTTACTAAATTTTAAGCAAAAAAAAAAACTGTAAAGCTTTAATTAAATAGTACTATTCTACTAAAAGTAATTAAATATTGGATAAATTTAAGTCATCAGCAAAATTCCCACTAAACAGATTTAGAAAATTCAGTTTAGTAATATTTAAAAATGTTTTACTTAAATGTTAGTTAAAAGTTACTAAGAATTAGTAGAAATTATTACTAATTAATACTATACTAATTTTACTTAATGACTTTTCACTAATTATAATTTAGAGAAAGTAAATTTGGTAAAATGAATTCAGCAGAATTAGCAGAATTTTCTACTTGTTTAAAAAATATTTGATAGTTTAAAATTTTTTTACTTCAAAATTACTGTAAAAATTATTAAGAATTAGGAGCAATTTTTACTAATTATTTATAGTTGCGAACAATTTTTCATTAATTCAAATGCATAAAGAATTTTTTTTTTTTACTTAATAGTTTGATAATTTTATTAATTTATTTTATTCAATCGATAATTGCGAATATAAAAAGAAAAAGGAAATGATGAAATAATATTTTAATTTTCATAAGAAAATCCCATGCTGTAAAATAATTCAGAAAAACTATAACAGATTGAATATCTAATTATTAGAAATTCGCGAAGAAATTAAACAGTTATGATGCAATCGTAATCAATTATGGAGCTCTGATAGTTGTGTGCGGTTATAATGACTGCATGAAAACATTTAAGAATCTTCCTCAAACAACTATACACATAATGTGAAAAAAGAAATGATTAATATACATATAATAGTGACCCTGATAAGTGTTTGCGCGAGTCGAGTGAAACAAAATGATTAATGTCCTTTTTATTCTTAATCTAAAGATGCTTCAAATAGAATCACCATTATTATTATTGTTATTATTATTATTATTATTATTATTATTATTATTAGATGAGGGAAAAAAATGTAAACTATTTCCGTCAATTTTTTCATCGCGAACATCGCAAACAAATATATAAACAAACTTTTGCCACGTCTATGAGGGAGAAAAAAATATTAAACAAACAAGATGTGGAATTTCAAATTACCATTCCTGAAGGAAGTTGAGGAATATCTTTTCTATATAGCGAAAACATCAGCTTGGCAAATGTATAACTTTTTTGCTATTATATACAAGTTCCCCGAGAGTGAGCTAACTTGGACATTAAAAAATTTAAACGCTACAGGCTCTATTGCTTTCAAGACGTATCCACAGTAAATGTAGTTGAGAGACTTAAATAATAAAGCAGAAGGTCTGCATTTTAATCAGCATTAGGATGTGGATTATTAAAAAAAAAGAATTGGATATTCGTCCTCTTTGCGGTTTTTGTTTTCTTCTTTTATCTTTCAATGTTAGATTTATCGCGCTTGATCATTTTTAATTAATCTCTATACTACTCTTATCTAAAACTATCGATCTCTACTCATCAATTATAATTTAATTCTCGAAAAATATATTAATTAAGGAAATGCGAAGTTGATCTAGGAGATGTATTTACACACATTCGGGATTTTTAATTTTTTGATTTAATGATAAAGTCTTCTATATTTTTGAATTAAAAAAAAATTTTAAATTAAATGACGACTCGTTTCATAATGCAAGTTGTGTCCTTGGATGAAAAATTGTAAGGCAAAGCGTTTTTCTCTGCAAAAAGTATGAAGCGTATTTTTTGGGCGTTCGGAACTTTAGGGAGTTTTATTAGGAAAAATTATTCTAAAAGAAAAAAATTAGTAATAACAATTTACCATTTCTCTTTCTTTCAATATTGGATAATTTTTTAGACCCTGGTCTCTGTTTTCAAGAGAAATATTTTTTATAAAAGGGGCCGTACACATAATACGTCACGCGATTTTTGACCATTTTTAACCCCTCCCTCCCCCTATGTCACACTTCTTCACAAATCTTGAACCCCCCCTCCCCCCTACGTCACGTCACACACGTAAATTTCACTGTAAATTTTATACATTGGACAATATATATGTATATTATATCTTACACTCTAAATTATTGAATCAGTTAAGAATATCTGATTTAGAAGCAAAAAATCAGTCACTAATTCAAATAGTAATATTTTTTTCTGACAATTAGTTGAAAATAACTGATGTTTCAATACAATTGTTTTTGATTGATTCAATTAGTCACGTTTAACTACCTACATAGCACCGAAACTTTCCTAAAAAGTTACTAAAGATTTACTCGCAAGCTTCGAAATATTTAAATGCAAAGTTTAGTGAAAATTGTGGAAAGATATAAATATCCCACTTCAATAAATATTTAGCGCGAAACTTTCCTGAAAATTTAAGTTAAATTTTCAGGAAAATTTTCACGAAAGTATAGTCGAAAATGCAATTCAAATGTTCAGGAAAGTTTTATGCTATATTTTTAAGAAAATTTGACGATAGACATTTATTGGAGTGAGAAATTTAAATCTTTACACAATTTTAAAATAAACTTTGCAAGTAAATTTTTCGAATTATGCAAGCAAATCGTTAATATACAATATTTAGAAAAATTTCGGTGTTTTGTGGATAATTTTTCAGTTATTTTTAACTGATTCAGAAGCAAAAAGTCAGTCACTGCTGATTGTCAGTTAAAACCATGATTTTTAACTGATTCAAATTAAGAGAATATATTATTTATCATATTATAAATAATATACCAATAGATGTTAAACAGGTACATAATAGATATTAAATAGTTTAAAGCATTTTTAACTTGTTTTATTTAGAAAAAGTGACATTGTCACATATAATTTCTTATAATCTTTGAATTTAAAAGATTGTGACGTAACACATGAGTTCACCCCCCCCCCCATGTCACACTTAGTCACAATTCTCAGACCCCCTCCCTCCCCCTAGCCGCGTGACGTATTATGTGTACGGCCCCAAAGGGAAATTATATTCAAAATTTATTTTCCAAAAATTATTTTGTATTAACCAGACTCTAAATAATGAGAAAGTGGAAAGTCGTTTAGTAATTGAGATTAGTTTAAATTTTTACTAATTTTGATAGATTTTTCACTAAATAATTTTAAAAAAAGTTAGTACCTGAATAATTTGAATTACTAAACGACATTTAGATTTTTTTTAGTTCAAAAAGTTAATGTGACCTTAATTTACTTTTATTTTTACTTTGATTTTCATTTGCACTTTTTCTTTCATTTCACTTTTCATTATAATTTAAACTTTCATTTTTATTAAAAAAATGAATATTCACTTATACTTGAGAAAATAAGAATGAGTATGAAATTTAATGTGAATATGAAAGTGAAAGTAAATGTGAAAGTGAAAATGAAAGCGACAGTGAATTTGTCTATATCTTTATCTATTAAATAACCCTTATGAAAAAAGAGTACTGGAATGAGTATTGGAAAGAGTACTGGAATGAGTATTGGGAAAAGTACTGGAATGAGTAGTGGTTTGAGTATTGGTTCGAGTATTGGAAATCCAGTACTTTTTTCGCCTTATGGAAAATCTGTTACGAATAACATATGTAGCAGATATTGTGACCCATTGTTAAAATTTTAGCATTAAAGAATCTTTGGAAAATACGTGAAAAGTTTTGAGCATTAACTCTAACAGATTTCTCTCCGTACACTAATAAAAAAAATTTCAGAAATTTGGTAAAAACATTATATTGAACTTTTTTGCGGTTTATGCAATGAAATAAATTGATGTGAAGTAATTAATATAATTTATTATTAATTAAAATGAAAATAATATTTGACGAAAGTACATATAAACTGTTTTCATTTATAAATTTTACTTTCTTTTTCTTGAAGAAGCATTATTTAATTTTTTACGTAGCGCTGAGTGAAATAAAATGTGGTTATCATGCGTGTCACCAAATATTGAAAGGACATAATCTGTAAATAAAAACCATAATTAGCAAATATTTCCCAAACAGAACGTTATTTTAAAGTGATATCACAGTAATCTTAAATTTTTCGCCTTATGGTGGAAGTATTGTAATATTACATTCTTACCTAACATGCCCTTAACACGAATTGGACAAAGTTGTTTTTTTGGTACAGCATCCGTTTTCTTCTGAAAGTTTGAAACTGTTCCAGTCAAACTACTCTCTTTAAGTTCTTCTTTATCGAACACTACATTGCATATTTCCGACGTAAATTTTGATACACTCGCTCTATTACAACATGCCAATCTGTTGTAACTACACTCTCTTCCACCAATATTAATAACTTTATCCTACAAAAATTCAGTAAATTATTAGAAATATTTTTATTTAAAAAATTAAAAAATTTTAATAATAAAAAAGTGTTATAAAGTAAAAAGTAACTTTTACCATTTACAATATAAAACCAAAACTGACTGAAACTTCTACGCACTTTTATAATAAAAATTGCCAAAAATGCACAGAATTTTTCTGTTAAAAGAATAAACAATATTACATAATTTTGCAACAGATAAATTTTATTATAAAATATGACTAAAACTTACTTTGTGCTTTAGTGACGATTTTTGAGCTTTTAATATCTTTGGCTCATTTACAGCCAACGATTCTTTAGACAGCTGTTGCTCCTTTGCATCAGGAATTTTAGGTATAACTTGTAAGACACCATCAAATAATACTTCAGTAGGCAGGATTTCCGACTATAATATAAATATAATATTATTAGGACTGTTACTGTACAAATAAAATATATATAAAAAATTGAACTCGACTGCGATGACATACCTTTTTATTTGAATCACGTCTTTGATCATTACCATTAGGAAACATTTTATCACCTGAAAGCTCTGTGGATGTTGTCGCTTGTGTTTTTAACTGAAACTAATAATTTTAATACCGCTGTTAGTATTGAAAGTAGTTTATTTACTATCAAATAGAATTGAAACTGCTTCGAAGAAATAAGAGTATAGCTTTTTAATGTACATAATAGCAACACACCTCATTATTCAAATTAGTAAGATCCACCGATGAATTTATTAGTACCGTGTCATAATGACCAAGGTCGGAGGATGTTGCTTCTTGTGCTATTAGTTCCGTGTCTTGGTGATAAATGACGGAAGATGTTGACGCTTGTGGTATTAGGCTCTTGAGTTTTGAATTTTCTTCCTCTATAAGTTTAAATTTTTTTCTTAACAATTCTACGCTATTGTCAGAAGATTCACTAGAAGTCGACTTATCCGAATCGGAGGACAGTTCGTCATCACTTATCTGTCAAGGAAAAAAAAATTTTATTCGAATTACATTTTGGTAGATCTTTTCAAAATATGCGGAAAATTGGAAAATTCATCTAACAAGAAAAGTTAAAGAAAAAAATGAAAACTATATATCCAATTTTGACTACTCCAACTGAATTAAGATTGTATAACTTTTATATATTTTACAGGAAATCAAAAACTAGTAAATCAAATTACATTTTCCAAAATGTGTTCTAAGATTGAAAACAGCACAAATTGAATAATTTAGCTCTTTAAAATAATTTTCACTAAATAAACTATGCAAAACTGATAACTCACTGTTGTTCCTCTTGATTTAGCGACTTCCAATTTCTTAATAAAATCATCCTTTCTGATATTAGTAACTTTTTTCAAATTGACTTTTTTTCCCTTTTTTGAAATCTAAAATTAATTAAATATGTTAATTTGATCAATATTTGAATTTCTAGTGGAAAATTTATATTTTACAAACCTCTTTATTTCTTTTCATTCCTTGTTCATTTTTTTTACCACTGTGTACATTTCTGTTTTTTAGAAGTTTTCTTGTGCTTTTTGTTGAATCGAGAACATTCAAGTCTACGAGCGTTTTTGCTTTCTCGCACATTTCAGTCCAACCTAAAATTTGAAATAAAAATGTATTACAAAAAGAAAAATATTTCATTCTCATGTTTACAGGGTTATTTTTATTCAAGTTCTAAGATACTATTAAATATTATCAAAATAGTCATTTCTACAAGAATATTAATATAATCATTACTTATTTAGATATTTTTAAAAAGAACTATGTTATGAAATATCATTTTCAGTTCTGTAAATTTACACGATTGTGTATTTCTAACCTCAAAATAATTATTATCTTACTGAATGCAGTAAAATTACATAATTATTTAAAAAATTTCATTACAGAACCGTGTAATTTTACAATTTCAACTGCAAAATTCAATACCTCTCTTCTACAGCGTATATATAAAAAAAATGTTTTGTTGTCTGAAATACTTATTAAATTTCAAAAAGAAAAGTCATTTTTACTACTATTTAGTTAAAATATTTTTACTTACTGCCCGCAGCAAGAATTATAGCAACACATTTTTTCCAATTACACGATTCAACTTTTTTCTTCATTTTAGACGCTGGCTCAATATCACAATCAGGCCATTTAATTAAGGTATCAATTCCCATTTCAATTGCATGTGACAATTTCTGCTCACTTAGTGGAATAAGAATCCATTCTTGAAAACCAACTGCGATTGAACAATTTTCATTCACGAACTCTAACAACAAACACTTTGAATCATCCATCGTATTACACTATTGCCATACACTGCATGTACACCACGTGCGTTTGATTTCAAATTTTCACATTTATGACTGCACATGCGTTGTATCTCTCTGCGCAGTGCGCATTAATGCGTATGTTAGTTATTATTGTGTTAGTATTAAACACTGACACAGTTTGTATGCGCGCGCCGAATGTTTTTACCTGGCTAATGACTGTTATAATTAGCAGTCGAATATTTTTGAAAATATTGAAATGTGATTTAGTGAAAAAAGTTATCAAGTCACAAATTATAAAATTCATTTAATTTTTTGATGTTGTCAACACATTAGAACTTTTCTATATAAAACAGTAAGTAATTTATTTCTATTTTTAATAATCCACCTGGGATTCCTAACCTCACTTCATGCATGCAATTCGTATAACTATAATAATAGTTATATTTCAATAATATAGTAATTCCAATGAAATGGTTAACAGAGAATGGATGAAGATGGATATAAACGATATTTACGTGAAGACACGGGGACAATACCAAAATCAACACAACGTTCGAGAGAAAAAATTTTGGTTGCACGTGCAGAGCACACACGTACTTTGCAAGCTAATTATCAAGAAATATCAAGCAATTCTAGTGAAAGTGAGGTAATGTATTTAATATATATGAGGTAATATATTTATTATTACATGAATATATTAAATTTTTTTATTATAATAATTATTAAAATTTTAAAAATGCACATCGAAAAAAATTTACTGTGATAATGAGACATTTTTTAAATATAAATAATATGCAGAACTTGAGCATTTTTGAGGGTCTCGATCAAAGCACCGGTTATAATTATTTGACGTTACAATTAGTTGGCCATTGAGTCGAAAACTTTTTTTCAATGTTCGATTGATAAGGCAAACGAAAATGAATTATAATAAAAATTGAAAAAGTTATTAATTATTTTCTAAACTGATACAAAATGATTGACTTCCAAACTTCCATCGCTTCATTTATCTGAAAAATTTTTACCACAAATGAAACAATTTTTCTCAAAGAGAAAAAAGATGCATAATTAAATATTCTATGGAAATATGCTTTTTAAAAAATTGAAATTAAAGAAAAGAATTTTTTCAACCCAGAGGCAAACTAATTCTATCGTGAAAGAATTATAGCCGGTTTTTCGATCGGGGACCTTAAAAAATATGTCTTTTAAGTTGTGTGATAATTTTTCATATTTTAACAAGAAAAATATTTATATAATTATTTTATAATCTGAACTTTTAATGTCTTCTAAAAAAATATTTTTTGAGTACTGAATGTTTATACCATTTTTTTATTATGAACTAGAGCTACAAATGCACTCTCATCTTATCTGGATATTATTTATTTCTTTGTTTAAAATTTAATACTTTCAACAGGAGGAGAGCAGTAATAATGGTGACTTTTCACATTTGGAAAAAAATGAAAGCTATTTGCATGCAATGGAAGAGGATATTAATTTTCCAGAACAAATGGAAGAGGAAAATAGCAGCATTGAACAACGAATGGAGGAAGAATCTTCAGACGAAAATAAAAATATTTCTAACGTTTCTGAAGAACGTGATGAATTAGAAACAGAAGATCTGCAAGCTGATAATGAATCAAAAGATAGTGAATCTGGTGGTTCCGAAAGTTCATTTACAGAAGAAATGGAGAGCGATATCTCTGATTCTGAAGATGATGAAATGTTTTCTGTGTATAATAGTGAGAATGATTTTAACGACTCGGAAGGAAGTCTTAATATAGATGTCCAGGTATGCTAAAAATATATGTAAAATTGTCAACTTTCTTATATACACTTGAAAGAATATTCAGGTTTTAAAATAATATATAATGTATTTTTTTATAGGAAAGAAATGTGATTCATGATAACTGCGACCTCACATATGAAGAATCTCATCTATTAATTTTGGCACAAGCTCTTCGTAATAATTTATCGGATGTTGCTTTAGAAAGTTCTATTAACCTAGTAGATTGTCACCTACCATACGCCGTACATCGCAGCAAGTACAATTTTTTGAAATCTTGTCCTGAGCCAAACGTGATTACATACTATTATTGTCCACAATGTTCAATCACTATTAATTTTGAAAATATAAATCGAGCAGAATGCGATGGATGCGGAGTACAGCACAATAAGTCAACTTTAAAAAAAGATATGAATTATTTTTTTTACTTACCTTTGGAGCCGCAGTTAAAGCGTTTACTTAATAGCAAGCATTTTCTAAATTTTCGAAAAGAGTGCAACGAAAGTGATGTTATAAAAGGTAAAGAATATCGTCGATTAGTTGAAAAAAACGTTATTTCTGAAAATGATATAACTATTCAATGGAATAGTGATGGAGTAAGTGTCTCTAAATCTTCGATCAAATCTATTTGGCCAATTTTGGTTATGGTCAATGAATTGCCTTACCGATTGCGAAAAAATAATATGCTTCTGTGCGGATTATGGTTTGGCACAAAACCGCAAATGAACCTTTTTCTCCGACCATTTGTAGATGAGCTTATTGAATTGCATGATAATGGTTTTAAATCGACGACATTTGTTTGTAAAGATCCTGTAGTAATAAAAGTGCATACTCTTCTTTCTCCAGTAGATTCAAGCGCGCGCTCAAAAATACTAAATTACATGCAATATAATGGAGAGTTCGGCTGCCCTTATTGTCTTAAGAAGGGTGAAAGAATACCTGTAGGAGCTGGATATGCACGTGTTTTTTGCGGATGTATTGAAAAATTGCGAACATTAGCCCAACACAATAAAGATGCTAAAAAAGCAGATGGGAAGGTGCCAGTTCGAGGTGTAAAAGGGTACTGTGTTGTTAGCCTTATACCTTTGTTTAACGTTGTTAAATGTTTTCCACCAGAATATCTACATTCTGTATTAGAAGGAGTTACCAAATTAATTGTAAGCACTCTATTTAATTCTGCGAATTTTAAGGAGGAATGGTATTTGGGCAAAAAAATTAAAGACATTGATGATAAATTAACTAACACAAAGCCTCCATCTGAGATTACAAGAACACCACGTTCCTTAAATCACCTTGACAAATGGAAAGGTTCGGAATGGAAAAGTTTCCTTTTATATTACTCATTGGTATGTTTTGAGAATTATTTACCTGCTAAGTATTTAAAACATTGGTTTCTTTTTGTTTATTCAATTACAATTTTTTCCAAACAAGAAATAAATGAAATTGAATATACAAAAGCTAGTGAAGCACTCAAAAAATTTGTTTTGGAAATAGAGAATCTGTACGGGAAAGAATATATGAAATTCAACGTTCATATTTTACTGCATATTCCACCAGCTGTACGGAGTTTTGGTGCTCTTTGGGCGTGGTCAACATTCCCTTTTGAACATTATAACGGAGTTTTGAAAAAATTATTTCATGGTACTCAGTACATTCCGGAACAAATTTGTAAGTTCTATACAAGACTCTCCTTCATAAACTCATCATCAGACATTTTTTCTAGAGAAGATTGTAACAAGAGAGGCAAAAAGTTATTTCGTTCATTGATGAAAGAGTGTGGCGTTAAGAGGTGTATTCAATACGATGATTTCTTAAGAATATTTGGTGCTTCAAAAGATTTAAGTTTAACTTTAATTGAAAAAATCGTTATTGAAGAAACTCTTCAAGAAACAATTGAAGTAAAAGCTCAATCATTTGAACGTTTTATTTTTAAACATGTGTTATATCATTCTTTCAATAGTCGTAGAGTAATTAAAAGAAATAATGGGACAATTGAAACAGACGATGGACGATTTATGATTATTTCTCACCTTCTCATAGTAAAACTCGCTCGAAATGGGGAAAATAGACATATTCTTTTGGGAAACGAATTACAAAAAGAAAATAGAATTTTGTGCTTCAATGGAAACTTTTCTTCCAATGACTTTTCGTATATTGTAAAAAAAACAAATAATATCATTTCCTGTTCTCTTTCATCAATTAAAAAAAAATGTGTAAATGTACAAATGACCGAAACCATGAGTAGCATCGTACCACTTGTAAACCACATTGAAACCGATTGAAATAAAAATATAATTATACAAGATTAACGAACGATATTGTTAATGCCAGTCTTAATTTAAGCTCAGCTTGTGTGAAAATAAGAATAAGAAATCTGAATTTACAGATTATGTGTTATAAAGGCGAAAAAAGTACTGGATTTCCAATACTCGAACCAATACTCAAACCAGTACTCATTCCAGTACTTTTCCCAATACTCATTCCAGTACTCTTTCCAATACTCATTCCAGTACTCTTTTTTCATAAGGGAATTTTCAAATCAAAAAGAATCTTCAGTGAAGAAATTTTGCAAAACTTCATTTAGCAAAATTTTTTTTTATAGATATAATTGGTGAATGAATTTTTACTAATTCAGAGAATAATAATGGTAAACCATAAATAATTGGTAAAAATTGCTCGTAATTCTTAATAATTTTTACACTAATTTTTCAAGCAATAAAATTTTAAACTATCAAATATTTTTCAAACAAATAGAAAATTCTGCTAATTCCGACAAATTTATTTTGTAAAATCTACTCTCTCTAAATCCTAATTAGAGAAAGGTCGTCCATTAAGTAACTTTTAACTAAAATTTAAGAAAAATAATTTTTAATTCACTAAACTGAATTTTCTAAATTTGATTTAGTGAGAATTTGGTTAAATTTAGTTAATAAAAATTGCTACTGATTTTTAATAGTTTATTCTTTAAACAGGGTTTACGAAAATTAGAAACTTTAAAAAACTAGATTTTTGAAAAATTGTAATATTTGAAATTCTCCTAAAATTATATGTATATCTAATTAATTGTTAAAAATAATGGATTTACAGAAGAATTTTAGTTAAAAATGCTAAAAAAAATTTGCATTTTGGAGAAGTTACAAATGATGGCAAAAATTCAATTATATTCAAAAATTTTAAAAAGTTCTCGTCAAAATTTCAATTATTTTTATAAATAATAAAATTCTTCTCCAAAATTCAATTATTTTCAAAAGATTTAATAAATTTCTTAGCAAAATTTTAATTATTTTCAAAAATTTTCTCAATTCAATGATTTTCAATATCGACTATTTTATTAAAATTTTCCAAAAGATTTAAATCATTTGAAACAAATTTTGATAAAATTCTACGAAAATATTTAATTATTTTCATAAATAATAAAAATCTCATAGAAACTCAATTATTAACGAAGAATTCAATTATTTTCAAATTTGTTAGAAATTTCTTTGTAATAATTCCATTATTTTCATAAACTATACAATTTTTTTACAGAGATTTAATTATTTTCGTAAATAATAAATTTTTTTTTAGGAATTCAATTATTTTCATAAATAGAAAACTTATAGCATAATTTCAATTATTTTTAATTTAATTTTAATCGAATTGTTCGAAAAAATGTAATTTATTCTTAAAACTTTTATTAAAATTTGTCGAAAGAATTTAATTATTTAAAAATTTATTGATATAATGGTTAAATATTTATTTAAAAAAGAAGTTATTGTTATTTTTGAATAATTTTACAATTAGAGAAATTCGTAATTAAATGTAATACAACATTTTTTTTGAGTATCTAATCAGTTTTAGAGTAAATCAGAATATTCTTTATGGTCAAGGAAAAAGAAAAAATTTTGTCTGGAAATCAGGGAAAAGTTAGGGAAATGCAAAATTAAATTTTTGTAGCAACCCTGTTAAACTTCAATATAAAAGATTTAAACTATTAAATAAAATACAGTAAAATTTTAGTAAAAATTAGCAAGAAATGATTACAATTGAGCAATTTCACGTGAACTGATTCAATAAAAAAATTAGATTATAAAGGAGCTTGTTTTATTCAAATTGATATAACTTCTAGAAAACTTAAGCGATTTAAATTTTTTATAGGGAATTTTAAAGCATTTTTTGTTTACCTTTCAATTCCAAAATTCTTTTCTCCAAAAAAAAAAGTTATTGAACCCCTCTCTTTTTTAAAAAATTAAACCTTATTTTTCAATTTTTAGAGAAACTACATCTTTTTTTATTTTTATATTATTTTTATTAGAAAACTGAAATTTTTTTTAGTAAATTATGTAAAGTAAGAAAAGGGGATAACAGTGTGTTTTTAATAAAATAACCAAAAAGTGTTTAAAAAGTTGGTTTTTTTTATTTTCTTAAAAACCCATTGTTGTCCCATTTTTTAAATTTACAAAATTTATTGGAAAAAATATCAGCTTTCGAATGAAAATGATAAAAAACTAATAAGTCGTAGTTTTTGTGAGAATTAAAAAATAAGGTTTATTTTTGAAAAAAAGAGTTTTCGAATTAAAAAGTTCACAAAGAACACTGAGAAATTAATACATTTGAATCGAACATAATTATCTTTGATATACAGTCAAACAAAAATTATCTTTGAATTAAACATAATAATTTTTATTCAATACATAATAAGTTTGATTGAATAAAAATGACATTTAATTCAATTATAAAATACGTTTAATTAAAACATGTTGTTTTTTGTTTGGCTACTTATTTTTGAATTAAAACAATATTTTTTTCAGTGAATGCTTTACAATTTACCATAAAAAAATTGAAAACTGTGAAGTTTTATCGAAATTATATTGATTTGAAATTAACAATTATTTCGCTGAAAACAAACATAACTGTAATCCTCATAATCTGCACAATCAAAATTTAAAAAGATAATATTTGAGGATTTTGTTATTTTTATGCAGAACAACATTTTACCAGATTTTTAAGCCCTTCCCAGACAATTAAAATCTTCACTTGATCGTTTCACCTAGAATTGCCCAAATGTTAATTTTAGTAGATTAATTTCCACTTTAATTCAGATTTGTGATTGTTTTCAAAAGGCGAATTTTCAAAATTATTTCCTAGAAATAAACCTAGAAATAAATTAAACTAACATCAGATTTAAAAAAATATCTCTTCTACTACTATTATACCTATAGATTGCAACTACATTTCAAAAGCAACAAATTATAAAGCACTTCCGGAAGAAAATATTTCTCCAGGACAATTATTATTCCCTTGAAGATATAGAATGCTGTTATAAAATTTTGTTACCACTAAATCTTTCGATGAAGTTGTGATGGCTAAAATTCCGGATTCCTTTTATAATTCGACATTTGACCTTAAATTCGATCCTCCACGAGAGATTCAAATGAAGGAGTCTGCATTACATCACCTGAGACTCGTGTACGATACTTATACATATATATATATATATAGGGGAATAATGTAATATCTATGATGCTGGGTCAAGAAAGGATTATGTGCAACCAGGATAGGACCCATTTGGTTTGATAGTAGAAGAACTTTGGAATGTCGCGCTCTGATTGGATATACAGCGCGAGTGAAGCCCTCCGATTGGCCCTAGGCACGTTTCCCCACCTCGGGAAATTCACTTTTTACCGGCGTTATTACAAAACTGACTGGCATCTCCTAGACCATGTCATTACGGCGCAGTGCTCGACTCTGCGAGCATCCTCTCACGGGACCTCCACCTCTTTTCCTCCCACTTTTCCTCTAACGCCAGATGAGAGGATCTTCCTTAACGCTCATTTCGAGTTAACAAAAACAATTTCGCGTTGCGTTATACTCGAGTCGAATATATTTATATAGAAAATATTAAGTCTTATTTTATTTTCTTCTCATCCTTACCTTTTTTTTCGATCTTTTATAATTTCTGTGAAATCAGTAATAAGGATTATAATTAACTGATGTTTTGAATTTTTTTTTATTGAAACAAGTGCGGAAATTAGTTTTTTTTTCTGACGAACAGAGTGCTGTGTTTTTGGATTTAATTTTTCTTAATTTGTTGTTTGGTGCTTGGAAGAAAGAGAACTTTTTACTCTCGAGGTGACTAACAAGAAAATAATAATCATGGAAGGATTGAGGAAAATTCGTGTGTTAAAATCGTAAGTGATTGTGATTTGTTGATAAATTTTGTGCTGATGATATGTACGAGAAATATGTGTGCAACAAGTGGTTCTGAAAATTTTCAATAATATTTCGAGGATTTTTAAGTCAATTAATTTTGACTCTATTTTTGTTTCGTCTAAATCTGTTGGGAAATTAATCGATCAGTTTTGGAATTTTATTCTGCAAAAAAAAATTTTATTTACTTCATAAAATTTGGTATTTTCATCATTTTAGTTTCAAGATATTTGATTACAACTAAAATTATTAGCCAAATTATTAAAATCTTTTGCAATTGAAAATTCTCCAATTTTTGCTATTTTCAATGTCAAGAAGCAACTTACATGGAAAAGAATTACTTCTGTCAATGTAATTGAGTCAAATGTAATATTTATTTTAAATAAATATTAATTTTACCAATTGACAATTTTTTCAAGAATAGAAGTAAATTTTTTTTTGCTGTAAATGAAAAAAATTGTTAATAATTAAAATCTGTTTTTTCTTAAATTACTATCGGATAGAATATTTTACTTACAAGGTACTTCAAAACGGAGCAAATTAAAAACTAATTTTAAATGGACTTCCAAATATTGATTGACCGAATTTGGAATTTCAGGAGTTAATTTTTCTTAATAGTTTAAATTTTTTATTTTATAAACATCAATTGACTTGATTAACAATTTCGTGTAATCTTAACAAGCAAAAACCTAATTATTTTAATTTTCTTTTTTTTCAAATGTGTAAATTATGAAAAATTAGAAAATTACAAATTATTTGAAATTGAGAAAATTTTCTAATTTATAAAATTATTAAATGAGTAATCTTTGAAAAAGTTACAATAAATTATTAATTAAAAAATTTACAAGTTAATTAAAATTAAAAAAATTATGAATAAATGAAAAGAATCTGCAATTTAGTAAAGTCACGAAAATTATAAATTAAAAAATTTACAAGTAAAATTACAAAAATTATTAATTAAAAAATTTACAAGTTAATTAAAATTAAAAGATTAGAAATTAATTAAAATTAAAAAGTTTAAAAATTAAATAAAATAGGAAAAAATTATAAATAAAATGATATACCTACAAATTAATAAAAATTACAAAATTACAAATTAGTTTAAAAAAATTTGAAAAAATTTGTGAATTAACAAAAATGGAAATATTAGGTATAAATTTTTAATTTTACAAATTAATGAAAATTGAATAATTTGCGGATTAATTAAAATTTTAAAAATTATTTATTTTTTTATTCGAGTTATAAAAACTAAAGATCTTTGAAAGATAGAAATTTCCGATTGTAAAATCATTGGGTAGGAAAAAGTAAAAAAAAAAGAGATTTTTATATTGAAGGGAAGTACCTTGAAAGAAAAGCATTTTATGCGGTATTATTTAAAATAGAATATTTTTGGGGAAATAGTTTTACCGGATATAATAATTACATAAACGACAAATGTATATTAAAGGTTAAAATAATCGCTTGTGCCCATGAACCTCACAGTGTTGACCCTAATTATTGTTTTCCTGTTGAGTGTAAAAGGTTCACAAAATTGGTGTCATTTTTGAACTGAATTTGGTTAAGTGTATATTTTTACCGCACGTGTCAAATTAATAATTAATTAATAATTCATTATTTCCCCGTAATTAATAATTTTCACAATTAATTATTAAATTAGCTGAATTTAATTAGTTGATTTAAAAAAATTTCAAGAATAAATTTTCAGAATTTTTCCTTTTCGAATTTTACCCAAAACATTATAATAAAATTTATAACTATAATTTTTTATAATCATACGTATATCTATTAGCAGTAGAAGTGAATAGCAATTTTCGAAAAATTCTGATCTAAATTTGCAATTTAATATATTCTGATATAAATTTAAAAAAAAGTGAAATTGCAAATTTCGATTTTCCAATCATAGTTGATTCAGTGGAAAGAGTAAATGAGATTTCGCGCAGTAGAATAAGACTCAATTGGTCAGACGCGATACTTGCTGATTGAATCTCGTCTTTTCAATATTACATTCTTTTCACGATGAACTCCTTTGCAACTTATTTCTCGTACTATCTGAAAAAAACAACTAAAACTACAGCTAAAATTCGAAACTAACAATAAGCTATAAAAAGATAAACTACAGTTTATCAGAACTTGTGTCCGTAGTTTAGTAAATTGAAAAGTAAAAATTTACTTTTTCGCAAATAAAAAATGGCACTTTCTATTTTATACGATTAAAGAAAAAAATTAGTTCTTTATTTCTGTGGCAATAAGATTATGACGATGATAAAGTGCAGGTGAAAACTGCACGGAAATTGCAAATGAAATCTGTTTTTTTTTTCAAACTAAACATTGCACTAAACGACTTGGCACTGTTAATCAGTGATATTTCACTAATTTAGATGTAGAGAGTGTGAACGGAGGGAAAGAGTATATTAATATCACTTTAATCCGAGAGATTGTCCTAAAAGTGCATTTTTCACAGGCAAATTAAGAGGAAGTGAATTCCTGACATAGTGAGCTAATTTGAAAAAGAAAACAATGTTTTCTCCGCCGATCGTGACACCGAAAGAAACAAAATTTTACCTAATAATTAATTACTCGACAAAAGTGACACTGAACAAAATTTATTTGATTTAAAATTTAAATAACCAATTACTTGACTATTATTTATCGATGAAATATTTACTTGAATCAAATAATTTTTGAGTCGATTAAGTGGTATTTGAATTTGAACCAAAAATTTCAGTTTTTGAAGCTAATAGCATTTAATTCACTCCAATAAAAATTATTTGATTCCTGAAAATATTTGATTCAAATAATTCTTTTTTCAGTGAATAAAAAATTCATTAAAGAAAATAAAAAACTATTATTTGTTTCAAGTAAATATTTATTTGATAATAGTTTGGATAAAAATAATTTAGATTAAACAATTTTATATAAAGGATAATTATTTAATTTTATAAACAGATTTTTAAATTAAAAATGCATGGAAAAAATATAAAGTAACGTTTACTTACTATTAGTTAAGAAAATTATAATTAAGTAAAATTCTTATTTTTTTTCAATATGACAAACATTTTTAATACCTGAACTCCTTATTTTAGTGGAAGTGAATTTTATTTGTTTTAAATTTTACAATTTTTTTCTTTAAAATTTGAATGTGCATGGAAAACATTAATAAAATAACTTTTACTATTTAAATGGAAAAATTGAAATTTTCTTCAATTTCTAAGCATTTTTATGTCAATTTTTACTATTTCCAGAGTAAATTTTAGTACAATTAATATAAATTTTACTAATTTTTACTATTTACATAATATGGGAAATAGTAAAATTTACTCCGAAAAAATAGCAAAAAAATGCCAAACGAAATTCGCGGAGAAGTTCTAAGTTAAGATTTTACTTTGTAAATACAATAAACGTTACTTTATATTTCTTCCATGCGATTTTAGTTCAAAAATCTGTTAATCAAATTAAATAATTATCTTTTATCCAAAATTATCTAATCCAATTTTTTCTTTCAAATTAAATGCAAATTTTACTGTGTTTAGTCGATTTTTACTACTTTCAGAGTATTGCTTCCTCATGGAGGAAATATTTTGACTACGTCCGATGTAAATTTCATTAATTTTTAACAAAATTTATTTCGGAAAGATAGTAAAGTTTACTCTATAAATAGTACAAATTGCTAGTCGAAATTTACTTCAAAGCTTAAAGAGAATAAACTAAAGTCACTTTTACTTTTTTCGGTGTAAAATCTACATTGTCTGCAACTTTTACGAATTCATGTTCATTTTTTTTACTATTTTTAGTATACAAATTTTAGTACGATAGAAGTAAATTTTATTATTTTTTTCTAAAATTTACTTCGTAAATAGTAAAAATTGAAAGAAATTTAGTAGAAAAATGTTTGACAGTTTAAATTTCACTTTTTAAATAATAAACAATACTTTATATTTTTTCAAAGTGGGTTGGAAAACTTTTTTTGAAAATAAGAAACGGTTTTTGATTCTAACCAATTTGTTTAATTTTAAAAAATGCAAGAGAAGTGAATATAGTCACTTTTAGTATTTTTATAGTAAAATCTAAATTAAATTCTAAATTTGTAGTAAAATTTTATAGTAATATTTAAATTGTCTGCAAGTTCTATAAAGTTTTACCAATTTTAACTAATTTCAAAGTAAATTTTACTATAGGTCCAAAAATTAAAAAAATTATTTAGAAAAAATTAAAAATTTTTATAGGAAAAATTTTACTAATTTTTAATGAAATTTACTTTTACTATTTATCAATAATAATAAAATTTACTAATTATAGTAAAAATAAATTTACTTTCTAGATTTACTTTTTATTTATTGTTTTATTTACGTGAAATGAAAATAAATAGTAAAATCCAGTGAAAATAGTAAAAATTGCGAGAAATGCTTTATAAAATTTCAGAGTTTCTATAGATTTTACTTTGCAAATAATAGTAAAAGTGACTTAATTTTTATTTTCGTGTAGAAATTAAAAAAATATTCCAATAAAACCGATATTCAAAAACTCTTTTCTAATAAATAATGTCAAAACTATTTAAAAAGCAAAAAAGGAATAGGTACTTAAAAAGTATTAGTATAAATAATTGGAAATTTAACAATTCAAAATGACCCATAAGTTTTAAACATTCATAAATTTGAAGTCCATAACGTTGAACGACGAAAAATAGTTTTCAATAAGTATATATTACTCAAAGGTAACGCAACAATATTGACATAAAACTGTATAATAAAGAAGATTTTTATTTAAGTTTTAACAAAAAAAAAAAAAGATTTTTTTTGGCTGACCAATGTTGTGAACTTTATCATCGTGAACTATTAACGTGAAAAAAATATTTTTTTTAACAAATATTTCTAGGTACAAATTACTATAATTGCAATAAAAATTAAAAACTTGAATTTAACATTTAGAAACTTTATAATTAGATAATTTTCTTGATTCGTGACACAAATTTATTGTAAGTAAA